TTTGAAAGTCCACGTCCCACCGACGGCAGCGGCCCACCGGGAAAAGTCCCAAATCTCCCGATGGCCAATCCGAGCCTGCTCACACACAACTGAAACCAAAATAATTTACAGACATCTATGTAAAAATCTCTTATACACACACATGTGAAACGCTCTCACACACACAACAGCGTTGCAGTCGGGAAGAAAAGCAATGTTGAGCGGCACCTCACCACTTCGCAAGGAGTTTAACACAGGGTTCCCGCGGGGTCTTAAAAAGTCTTACATTTGATAATATGAATTTAAGGCCTTAAAAAGGTCTTAAATATGACCACAAAAATGAGAAGGGTATTCATATGATTTAGAAGGTCTTAAAAATGATCGGATTTGAAAGGTACTTCTGTGTTGAGATCGCTGCTAAATGTGTTTTGGGGGAAATGTCCGGGCTGCAAAGTAACCAGTACGGTAATAGCCTTTCAGTTCCCCCCAACAATTTGTATTGAATTAAATCAACATGGGACCAGTAATCACTAACTTTGTTTCCCCCGAACCCTTATTGGAGAACAGCCAGCTAATAACCTAGCAACCAAGCTTCAGCCAGCGGCAGTCAGAAACTCATGTATCTTCAAATCTACTTACAAATTAATATGGGGAAGTGTCAGTTCAACCGTATTTGGTTGGAAAACATCTAATTTAGTGCTTGGTTGAAACCAGTGGAGGGGAACGTGTTTGAAGTCCGCTGCACCTTTTGCAAATAAAATTTGCGTTTGTTTTGCTAATGTAGCATTAGCTAGTGGAGCAGCTACCGCAACAACACCGGGGGAACCTCCGGGCGACGTTTGGGTCTACAACGTCAACCCTAAAAGCGGAGGTGCTGTAGACGCTAAATACCGTAGCTAAACACCAATCATACAACAGCAACGATGAAATAGTGTAGCCAAGGCAGCAGAGCTCTGAATATAGCTTCTCTCTCTCGCTCTCGCTCTCTCTCTCTCTCTCTCTCTCTCGCTCTCTCTCTCTCTCTCTCACACACACACACACACACACTAGGGCTGCTCGATTATGGCAATAATCACGATTATATTGGTCAATAATTAATATCATGATTATTAAATACGATTATTCATTGACTTTGAAAACATCCATTTATTGAACTTTAAAACAAATAATAATTTGAACAGTATCTTTTTAACTGTTGATTACCCTGAACGTATAATTAAATGGAAAAACCAATACAAAAACAAATGATACATTTAAATAAATAATATCAAAATAATAAATACCAATAAACAAGATCAACAAATATTTTGGAGCGCACTTCCACAAGCTACTAAACGTATAAATATGATAAATAAATTAGACTAAAATTAATTAGATCAAGTATGTTGTAGTGCACTGTCACAACCGAGCAAAGCAAAATAATCGTTTTTTTCGATTATGTTGTTTTCGTAATTGTGGCAGGCCAAAATTGTAATTGCGATTAAAATACGATTAATTGCACAGCCCTAACACACACACACATACTCTAGATGTGTGTGTGAGGACAAAGTTTTGTGTACTGTTATGCTGTTATGTTCAGTCATTGTTCTTATGTTGAACATGAATACATTTACTTTGTAAGTAATTATGGGACGTATTTCTTCTTTCATAGCAATTTTCCTTCGTGAAATAGGTCTTAAATTCTATTCAAAGTGGTCTTAAAAAGGTCTTAAAAAAGTCTTAAATTTGAGTTGGCGAAACCTGCAGGAACCCTGTTAACAATGACACTCGAAATCCCGTTTGTGTGCCCCCAATTTACAAATAGGCCTATGTTTATTATTATTTTTTAACATAAGCAGTCATCGCCACGGAGGAGCACACAGCCTCTGAGTTATCAGGGTTGTGTTCAAGAAATGTAAGAAGATGTATCTTTGCCCCTTCTCAGCGCTACACAGCTGCCTCATGCCGCTCTGCTCCTTTTTATGACGGTTTTACTAAAGGCACGGACACACCGGGCCGATTATCGGCGTCGGTGGGCGTCAGGCCGACGATGAGCGTCGACACGCCCTACTCAGATTGGTGTGTCCCACACAGTGGGGTCTTTTCAGCCGTGCCGACGCCTTTTCGGCCGAAAACCAGCCGATTCAACATGTTTGCTTGCATGTTGAATCGAGGGGCAGTCGGCAAAATAAATCACTCTGATTGGCTGTTCAGCTAGCGAATCAGTGCATGAGAAGTGAAACGGAAGTGAGGGACACAAACAAACTATTAAGATTTCATTTAACTCCAGCTCTCGACACAGGTTGGGGAAAGCCCTGTGAGCTTCTCGCTGTAGAGGGAAAATGGAACGCACACGCTATTGGTTGTTTGTTTACATCACACAGTCTGTTCTTCTCTCGGTTATCACACAGTCTGTCTTCCGGTTGTTGCCTCTTTTGAATGACGAATACACACTACCGCCGCCTGCTGGTAAGGAGAGTTATTGCCACTCACGCATGCGCAGTTCGTACGTGCTTCTTGGCCGTCGGCTGAAGTCTTTGCGGTGTGTTCCAGTGCGACACATGGCAGAGACGCGAGGCGACGCAACAGTCGGGGTCCGTCTGTGTCAGTTCTTTGTTGCCAGATTGGTGTGTCCGGGCCTTAAGACCTCTGCTGTGTTTTCAGGTTCATTGACATGATCAACGTGTCTCCGTCTCTCACTGGAGACTTTTGGGTGGAAAGAATACAGCCATTTTTGTATGAAAGTATTAGAAACAAAGAGTTCATTGTTTTGTGATCATGATTATAAGAACATCTTAATCCATACATTAATGTCCTTATGATTACTGTGGCTCTGTGTTCCTCATTGTGTCTGTCTACCTTCCATCTATACCTCTAATAGAAAACCAATAATATTGTAGCATCAAGCCGTGAGAATGCCGCAGTCTCTCGCTCTCTTAATAGCAGGTTCTACTCAGAAGAGCCTCCACATTTCCTCACATCTTACCCCATGCTGACAGGAGAGCGGCTGCCTAAATGTTGCCAGCAGCAGCATGTATTCGTAAAGATCCCAGAGTGTGCAGAGGCAACACTTTAGCAGCCATGCAGTATTTCTGCAGCTCTGTGGTACAACACACAGTATCACCTTGTTTTTGATATTTGTTTCCGTTGAGATTACTCACCAAATGTCTGGTTAATAATTGATCACTGTAGACACTGAACAATTAGATCCCATTGGATAAGAAAAACAGGAAGAAACAAGTAGAATGTAATGTCTCGAGTGGTCATGAGGTAGTGCTGAGGAGGTTTACTGATTATATTACTAGGGGTAAAAACTCTGCAGTCAGAGTTTCCCTTTTGCAAAACACATATCGCTCCTATAGGCAAGTCTACGGTTTTGAAGTGTATCTAAGTTTCTTTGGATAAGAGCTTCACCAAAGTGTCATGCATGTTATATAATGTAATGAACTGGAATTAGGAGGCGTCCTGGTGTTGATCAACATCTCTAGTTTGAGTCCAGCTGGAAGCCTTTCGTTGTGTTTTGTTCCTCGTCTCTCCCTCTCCCTGTCAGCTGTCCCGTCTTTATGAAGGACGTTCAGCGCCTAAAACCACTGTTTTACCACTCAAGCTGAAATGCAAAGTCCTTGGATTGACTTCTTCTCTGTCTGCGATGTTTGTAGTCGTCACTCAAAACCAGTTGTGGAGGTTCTGTGCTATCCATCAAATATTTTCCACTGGAACAAATGTGATTCTCGGACATGACAGTGATCAAAGCTGAAAGAAACGCACTGAGGAAGAAGGTGTGTGTGTGTGTGTGTGTGTGTGTGTGTGTGTGTGTGTGTGTGTGTGTGTGTGTGTGTGTGTGTGTGTGTGTGTGTGTGTGTGTGTGTGTGTGTGTGTGTGTGTGTGTGTGTGTGTGTGTGTGTGTGTGTGTGTGTGTCCCACATCAGACATGTGGGTTAGTGAGGGCTTCACACCAGAAGGCACAGCTGCAGCAATTCATTAGTGAAGCAATTTGCAATCTTCCAAACTACTTTCCTTTGTATTTATTAATGAATGTAATATCGATCATTTTATTATTCCAAAGCTCCGGCTGTCTGGTGTTCCTCGGTCTGAGTAAATCCTGTCTCTGCAGTGTGTCTGCTGATGGGGAAACACTCTGTGAGCCTCAACCTGCTCCCAGCTGAGACTCACATCAAAGAGTGTTTCCCCCACTGTGTCTATGGCTCTATATTTCTGTCTGTGTCTGACCAGACCAAATTAATGAGAGTTTCAATCCAAAGAAATCCCTTCTGAAATATAATGAAATGTGTCTCCTGTGAAAATGACAAGGACACTTCTGATTATTATCCTTTCTTATACCTATGAATAAATATGAACAATGCTTATGACTGGAAGCGCCAGAATTGCCATCATTTTTTTATTCCACCTAAAAGTTCAGGAAACTCCAAAGAACACGGCGTTTTTCTTTTTTTAGTTTTCTTGTAAGTTGGGCTATTTTGATTAAATACTTAGACCACAAATAAGGGTTACAGTTCAGCAGGCTATCAAATGACTACATGCTTACACGTCCGTCAGTAAAACAACTACTAAGTTTCCACATCAACATATATCAGAAATGTCAATATATGACCTTATTAGGTGTAGTTTGTTAGCTGTAATTCATCCCTTCATATGTCATCTTCAGATTTACCATGCTGCTGTAGCGAGATCATTTCCCCAATTCTGATCAATCTTATCTTAAAGGTTCATGTGACTTGATGGTGACTTGACAGGAAACGGTTATCTGTTGTGTGTCGTCTGTAGAAACCTTGTTTTTGAACAGAAAACTCATTCTGATCTCTTCTCTTCACAGATCTCTCTGAAGTGCAGAGCTCCGGAGGTTTCTCAGTGTGTTTTCCAGAACTACGAGACAGTGCTGAAGAACTGAACAGCAACAGATGAACGCGTTTCTGTGAGAATACAGTTCAGCAAGTCACCATCAGCAACAGTCACCATGAAGCCTTTAAGATAAGATTGATCAGAATTGGGGAAATGATCGTCGCTACAGGGCAGCATGGTAAATCTG